CTCCGGTGAGGGGCTCATCGCTCTGTTTGCTCGGAGTGCACCTCAGGGTGGGCTTCCCAAGGGGTCCATTGCTCGCTCGGAGTGCACCTCAGGGTGGGCTTCATGAGGGGCCCATCGCTCTGTTCACTCAGAGTGCACCTCAGGGTGGGTTTCACRAGGGGCCCATCGCTCTGCTCGCTCAGAGTGCTCGTCAGGGTGGGCTTCACTGCACGCCACTTAGCGTTGCTCTCCATTTTAAAACATAGTGAGGAAATGATCAACGATGACCCTTAGATAACTTCCTACCTACCAGTTACATTTTTATGCTGAGAGGGACTTTCTTAAAAACAGATGGCTCTTTTCCAAGTAAAAGTCGGTTGACGTATGAGGAAGCTAAATGCTTCTTTAATCTCAGTGAAAATTCCCTGGTAGAGACATGGGTGTCTAGTCATAAAAGCTGAAATTTTCATTGTGCTGCTACATGAGCAGCGAGGCGAGCGCTTGCGCTTGTGCTCACGCCGCTCTCGACTCGTTAGCTGGCTGCCTGCTTGTTTCTCCTTCTACATGGGCTGATGTCTGAGCCGTGCAAAGTTCACAGTGGCATTTCAGGACAAATCTGCTAAATTTAGCACCAAAAGCCACTAAAAAAGATGCATGAGCAAGGAGTAGAAGATGTAAAATAAACTTCTTTCGACAGAGGCAGTCAGAGAGAAAAATGTTCATTTGCACAAATTCTTCTCCATTTTCAGCATACAAATGGACATGTGGCTGGGCAGATAAATGTGTGCTAGACCTGGCCAGCATTTTAATCCAGACTTTTGATGAAGTAAAGTCACCAGACTCTCTAGTGAAGGCCTGAGTAAAAAATCTATATTCCTTGAAGGTAATTACTGAAAAACTAGAGAAAATCAGTTATTCAGTTTTGTCTTTCTCACCAAAAAAAAATAGATTATTTTATATAATCTATTAACAATATCTAACAACAGTATTGTTGTTATACATAGAAGATACAAGTGATAGTTTTTACTGGGTTTGTGTCCTATTTCCAGTGAAAAGATGGAGTCTTGCCATTGACTTCATTAAAGRTAGATTAGGATCTTGTGTCTTGTTGCAAGTTGGACATCTGATTGTGAAAACTAAAGCCAAAATTAAGTCACTATATCCCGCTTGTAGGTATATGCTTTCCAGACATGACATTTCAGTTTCAACTGCATCACAAAATGCTACTGCATTTAACTATATATTGAGTATTGCTGTAAAGATGCAGTCTTTTAATTATAATATTTTACACGTAGAATTTTTTTAATATGCAGCTTCAGTCTTTCGCAGTATGATTTGGTCTTAAATCCCCTCTCATTCCCAGGGCAAAATCTCAGAGAATCAATATTGTGTGTCTTCAGAGTCTTTGTGGGTCTGTAGTGAACAAAGAGAGTTTTGATTAACTCTATGCTGAGGGTTTTGTGCATCATTTAGGGGAAAACTAAGAGCCCAACCCAACCGCTACAGCAGCCAAAGGGAACTTTTTTCCTCCACTTCAGTGGCAGTCGGTCTTTCTTCCAGCACCAGTCCCGAGTGCTGCGGTTAGCTCAGTTAATTCAGATGATATTTACTTAGGCAAACCCCTCCCAGTGAAACTCTGCCAGAATGAGGGATTCCAGCTTTGGTCCCAAAATGTGGGGAAATCGACCTCCTTTTCGTGTTTCAGTGGCACGAGTGATCCACAGTCCCCATCAGCCTCATGGCTCCTGCTTGTCTACTGAAGCCACAGCAATAGATTTATTTAATCTTGTGAATAATGTCCCTATTCTAGCGCTGGAGCCAGAAATGCTGCTCATTTTGGGTGCCAGGTGAGGGTTTTATCACTGAAGGGGGAGGGTAGGAGCTACGTTTTTGGGGTCACTTCAGCCCCCGGTAGACGGAAGGTCAGGATGGGCCCAGGGCCCTGCTGTGGCTGTGCCCCTTTCCGTAATCAGAGCTGTCGTGTTTGGGCAGAATAAAGAATCTCCACGCAAAGATAATTGAGAAGGATGCCATGATCAAGGTCCTGCAGCAGCGGTCGCGGAAGGACGCTGGGAAAAGCGACAGCTCCAGCCTGCGGCCCGCGCGCTCCGTCCCGTCCATCGCGGCGGCCGCGGGCGCCCATTCGCGCCAGACCTCGCTCACCAGCAGCCACATCGCGGAGGAGAGGAAGGAGGAGAAGCTCTGGAAGGGAAGCATCGGTGAGTGGCGCTCGAGCTTGGGCTCCGCTGCGGGTTAGCTGGTCTTGCTGCCCACGAAACCGCACATGGTCGCAGGGCTGCCCCGCACGGCGGGTGCAGGTCCCACCAGGCCCACAGGAGCCCCCTCCGCCCGAGGATGAAGCCAAAGATCAGTCCTTTTTCTTTTAAGCACACATATTTGTCRCTATTTATGCAAAACCATCACCAGAGAAAGCAGCAGTCTGGGAAAGAGGCCCTGATGCTAGCGGGTGGTGTGGGAGACTTGGAGGGGGCAAACCCAAATCGGGGTGAGGGTGAAGCCTGAAGAGGGACGTGAGGGGATGGTCTGGGCTAGGAGTGGACAAGAGCAGGGCTGGGATTTTGACGGGGACAGTKTCCCATCCAGCCTGTCTTCCTTGGGTTGAGGAGGAGCCTTTGGGCGCGGGAGCAGCCCCACAGCGCTGAGGGGAGCCCGTGGTGCCCAGCGCGGCCCATGGCACTGAGCAGCCCCACCTGCTTGCAGGGCTGCTGCTGGGCAAGGAGCCCCMGGAGGCGCCGGGGAACCCCGCTCCGGCCCCTGCGCCGCCCTCGGTGCCGAGCGCGCCGGCCTCGCACGCCAAGACGGGCAGCAGGGACAGCAGCACGCAGACCGACAGGAGCGCCGAGCTCTTCTGGCCCGCGGGCCCCAGCGGCGCCCCGGGCGGGCGAGCGCGCCCCGGCGCCCCCGCCGCGCACAGCCCGGCCCCGCGCCTCCCCGCCGCCCGCGACAGAGGTGAGTCSTGCTCCTTCCTCGTGCCCCTTCCTTTCCTCGTGCTCCTGCCTCAGCAGCMGTCTTCCTTGCATTGATCCAGCATTGTGTAGTGCCAGGCACCACTCATCTGCCCTCAGAAGGGAGCTCCCCTGTGCCCTATTTCCTACATGTCACCAGCAGGGCAGGACCACGAGTACCGGAGACTCCGGGTCCCTGYGTTTTGTGCAGAGGTGACTGGGATCCTTTCCAGATCCTTGGGAATTAGCCTGGGCCCTTTTAAGGCATTAAGAGCCCTTCTTTCTGAATCTCACGGTGTCAAGAACTGGTGATAAGGATAAATACGTAATTAATGTGTCATTATTAATAYCTAGTTAATGTATTTATAGACTATACATTATCACATGCATGCTCCTACCCTGCCCCAGTGGCAAAGTAGAATATTTTGGGTGAATCCACCTGGTTATTTSTATGCTGCCTTCAGGATGAGTTAAGCTCATAAGCTTTGCAACCTAAGCAGGATAGGAATACACATATGGAGAGTTACCATGGATCAGCCGATGCCTAATTACTCGTTAATCCGATGTAAATCTTGTGCAATCACCTGTCCATTTCTCACCAGGGACACAGCTGAAGAGCTGCTGTATCTCTTTTGTCTGTAGCTGCTAAACACACATTTTGGTGCCTCACCTTGTGTGCCAGGTGCGCTAACAAGCTTGCTGCCATTGGCACCGTTATTTCATTGTGCAGAGAATGCAGGATTACCTTCTCTGGCCTCTTTTTTGGCCGTCCTATTTAGGATGTATGGATTAAGATGTTTCTCCCTCTCCCCTGCCATTGGCTTATATTTGCTTTGAACAATTATTTGCTACTGAATTTGAAGACCTACCTTTCCTTCTTCTTGTTCCAGACAACTGCAGTCATGCGAAGCCACCTGAGAACAAGGGCCGACTGAGCAGTTTGCTCCACAAGCCCGAGTTCCCTGATGCAGACATGATGGAAGTCCTCATYTGAGCAAAGGAGGGCATCTCCGGGGGTTTGTGTGCATACATTCAGGTCCAAGGAGGTCATCGGTGTGCCAACCTTATAAACTGACTGGGTGAGTTTGAGGGAAGGAGAAGAAAGTTTGYGCCTGTAAAGAAGTTTTGAGTCTGATGTGCTGTGACTTTGGACCAGGCGAGAAGGAAAGACAGCTGAAAATGAAAGTCTGGAATTTTCTGAGAAGAAAAGGGCATTGAAAACAGAAGGCTTGGGAAGGTGTCATCAAGAAAAAAAGGGAAACTACATTTTCTGGTGTAAAGAGAAGGTAGCTGGGTTTTTGAGTGCACAGTATGATTCTGGTTACTGTCCAGCTACAACAAGACAGGGAGAGAAGTCCTGAATCTTGTGAGGCCAGTGGAAGTCCATGAATAACCCAGGAGAAGTTTGCATCTTCCTTGGAATTGATTCATTTCTCAGAAGCATTCACTGCTTGGTGTTAGTGAACAATTGGTCTGTAGATGTAGACAGCAGGTTCTTGTAAGTATTTATTTGAAGTGGCGTGGTGTGGTTTTCCTGGGACACACAGGTCAGGTGTCTGTTTCCTGGCTGGACAGATGTTATTCTTGGAGCTGGATTTGCAGTGCAAATATTCCAGTTGTGCAAACTCGCAGACGGCCTAGACTTCTCTTTCGGTAAGAGCAGTTGTTTGCTGGAATTCCCATGGAAGAGGAACATAAGAGTGGTGGGAGCCTGCTGAAGCAATCCCTTCTGTAATGTTGGGACAGTTTCAGGAGGCAAAGCCAGGGGAGGACTCGGGCTGCTCCACTGAGCGGATGTGCACGGGGAGTTAGTCAAGTGGGGAGCAGCGGAGGTGCAACTAGAGATTTCTGTTTATATGGATGTGCTAGTGGAGGGCAGGGGGGCTCAGCAGCATCCAGGAGCATCAGTATCCCCAGAGCCCTGCAGGGGCTTCACGGGAGCACAGGGCCCCGCAGGGCACTCCACAGCTCTCCCCAGGCATCTTCTCATCTCGACCACAAATTCCAGTGCTCTCAGCAGGGACACACAGGTTTCTACAAATATGACTCTAATCATGAAATTGTGGAGAGAATTTAGCCCAAGGTAACTGAAAAATGTGGSGGGACAATTGCAATAGAGAGATGGGAGGGAAGCAGAAATTAATGATGACTCTGAAATGATTTCAGTGGAATTAAACATGGCTTACACATGAGATCAGAAGATGCCTCAGTGTGCTAGTGCACACTGGAAGCACAGTATCAATTATTAAAGCAATTAGCAACAATGGAAGAATCAAGGCATTTGTGGTAAGAATTTGGAAATTTCCTTATTTTGTGGAACCTGCAGCCAAATCCTACCTTCCTTGAGCATACAGATCCTCCATTCAGGTTAAGTGGGACTGGGCATTTAAGGGGTGTAGGACCAGGCTGGGAAGGTTTTATGCATGAACATCATCTATTTTYTGTGCTGAGCTGCAGGCTCTTTTCACTTTGTTTCTCCCAAGATGGAACATTTCTCATTTTTAGCCTAGTCACTGATTTTTGTGCGAGGTGGCAATATGGAAGACAGCCAACTCACCAGCAGTGTTAATTGTAGCATGCCATTTGCTTCGTGTATTGCAAATGCTGGTGGGGAAATTTTCCTACTTGAAATGGTTTTATAGTGTTTTTTCCTCTTCCCAAATCTTCTAGTCCACTGTATTGACATTATGAAGAACTTGACTTGTGGAAAATGGTGATGGGATTTTATGTGACACTGCCTAGAATGGCAGAGTGACGGGTGCTYTCGTGTCAGAGAGAGTCGTGTGCTCAGGCCTGGCCKTGGGTCACACTGTCCTGTACGTATTGAAATGGAGCTCTTGATGGTGAGAAGAGCAGGCACTTTAAACTCCACTTTCATGGAAAACTAATGTCTTTGCAGTCTCAAAACCTTCAGGTGCCAGAACCCAGCCCTGCGCTCAAAACTGCATGGCTAAGAAATGCTTCTTTTTTTTAAATTGCTACGTTAAATCTATGCACTTATTTTTTTGTGTGTCCATAGAATTAGGCATGTGTTGGTGTCACCTTCTTTGTGATTTTTGCACTTGTTGAAAGAAGCAGTGGTAGGTCGTTTGTTAGTCAACAGAGAACTGTGTGTTTGAGTATTAGCAGCTTTGCATCGCAAAACCAAATGTGTAAATCCATGGAAGATGTTATGCAGCTTAATATATGCCTTGTAAAATAATTTTATTTTTTTCTCTAAAGTTAATTTAAAAGTCCTAAGTGTTTGTGTAAAACCCAGGGCCTCCGTGGTGCAGTGGTTGGCTGCAACCCTTAGTATCCTGCTGCCCTTGCAGCACTTACCCGCTCCAGTTACCCTTCCTCAAAGACAACAAGCACTGTTGGATCTTCATCTTCACTGGGAGCAGGGCAGGAGGAAAGCAAAGCAAGGGAACATAAGTGAAATGAGAAGGATTATTTCACTTTGTTGGTCTTCACCAAGAAATAAGGATACACAGCTGCTTGGACGTCCCTAAGCTGTATTACTGGCTGTATTATTTCCTTTGATGAAGCTATTTAATTATTTCTGTACAGATAGACAGTGAGGCATCCCACAGGAATAGTGTTTGGTTAGTGTGTATGACGATGCTTTCAGCTAGTTCTCCCTCTTAGTGGTGCAGCTTTGCTTCTTGAAGTCACTGGAATGCAGCAGTCCTGGTGCGAGCAACGATCCCTCCACGCTCCAGCACCCAAAGATGTTGATGCTGCCCCTGGTTTGTGTCTGTAAATGGGAGAGTGTTTATTGCAGAGTTACAGTGTAGGCAAATCTCATTCAATTTTGAGTTCACAGGTGAAATAACCCTGAAAGTTCATTCTCCTTACTTGGGCTGTACTCAAGATATTTTAACTTTTCTGCCAAGAGAGAAGGACCGGTGAGTTTTCCCTCCCAGATCAAAGCACTATGAGGATTTGCGTGGAGCACTACTGCCATACATCAGTTCACTTCTCCCAACAAAGCCGTGCACTATTCTTTCCAGCTATTTGAATTTCCCTGTGTTTTGTGAAAACRTGTTGTAGCCATTCCAGGTGACATTGGTAACTAGTTGTAAAATACTRTCATTTTTTATTGTTGCCGGTTGTATAGAAAAGTTGGTGTACAGTGTTGTACAGCTGGAGGGTTATTTGTACATAGGTGGGAAAATGAAGAACATTATGTGTTACCCACAGCAAATATTGATATTGTTGGGCAGCCAAAGATTTCTTATTCTTTGCTGTTTAAACTTGTGCCTTAATATTGTATAATAAATGTATAAAAATGTTTCTTTTCTCGCTTTTCCCGTGTGAAATGTATTCAGTCCCTGAGAAGAGAAACTTTTCACATCTAGGCTTTGCACACAAGTTACTAAGACTAGGAAGTAATATTAAAGTGACTTTAAGGTAGCATCTCCTCTGTTTTTAATAACTTTTTTCTGAAAGCCCCACAGTAGTTGTTATCAGGAAAGCCCCACAGTAGTTGTTATCAGTAAGTATATGTAAGCACAAAATTGATAGCTCTGCAAAGCAGAGGGTCAAACCAAGAGCTTTGCCAAGCAAGAATGAAGTCGCAGTGAGATCATCTTGAGCTGTGAAAAATTATTGTGGTCAGTCAGTAAGTGAACATCTAAAGATGTTTTAACACTGCTTTCCTGGTGAGCAGAGCACTCGCACTGATTTTAGATTTTGAAAGGTCTGGAACATTTTTACTTGGCAGATATTGAATCAATATAAAATGGATACCTAAATACCCTCATGAATCTAGGTTACCAGAACATCCTCTGTAAGGAATAAAAAGATCAGATTCCAGTTTTCAGCAGTTGTCCATGCTAAGGGTATGCTCAGACCATTTAGAAACATTGCATGTGTGTTTGCTTATGTATCTGAAAAAAAATACTGCRGGAGGCAGGTCTGGAGGGAAAAGGCAAAGGTTGCCCAAATATCTACCTTTCAGTAAGTGAGATCTGCTCAGCAGGCTCTCACATGCTTGTGAACGAGTCTGTTTTAGAGAATTCCTGAATCGTGTCCCACAGAGCTGCAGGTATGTAAAGCATGAGAGCCATTAAGGGCATCTCTCTGCTATCGACTGTCCTGCACCTTTTCCAACCCCCCCTCTTTCCCAGAGGATTGATGCACAAAAAAGGCAACCTCCCCACCGATCAGCAGAGACCCGGGGGCTTTGCAGATACTGGATATTTACGTCCTTCACACGCATCATGGCAACCTCATGCTCCCCATGGTGAACACGGGTAGGTTTGACCCATCCGAATGGTCTCTCTTTAAAGCACAACAACACTAAGTGTTTTTAGTGCCCCAGTCTTTGCCACCAAGAGCAAACATTTGGGGATTGATTAGCACAGGGCTCTTCAGCTTTTGTCAAGTTAAGATTTGATGGTATCATAGAATCACAGACTCCTTAAGGGACCTTAAGGTTGGAAGGAACCTCTAGAGATCATCTAGTCCAACCCCCCTGCACACGCAGGGTTACCTAGAGCACGTAGCACAGGGTTGCATCCAAGTGGTTTTGAAGCTCTTCAGAGAAGGAGACTTCACAACCTCTCTGGACAGCCTGTTCCAGGGCTCTGTCACCCTCACTGTAAAGATTTTTTTCCTTAAGTTCTTGTGGAACTTTTGGTGCTCCAGTTTGTGGCCATTTCCTTTAGTTCAGTAGGACTTGGGGCTTATCTTGGTGCTCAAGGTCATGGTAAAAGAATAAATGAATAGAGGAAAAAACAAACTTAGAGTGGGAAAAGCCACGTCTCCAGGTGTGTTCAGGTGTAGCCCAGAGCGCTTCTACCATTTCTGGACTGTGCCTTCMTTGCAGATGTTCCAGCCAAATAAAGAGAACTTCACTATAGCATTGTCTCCAAGGTGAGTACATGTTGTGTGTGACCCACTGAAAATAACAGTGCAAAGAAGCAAACTTGCAGAGTGAGTTTGTTTAGATATTGAAATCCCTGTGCATGTAACATGCATGTAAAGAGTTAAAAAGTGTTGCAAAATTGCCARTTAGAAGCAATCAAAAATTATGAGTTAAATCCAATGTAAAATTATGAGACCTGTTTATGATTAATTTGGACCTAATGCATTGTTCAGCTGTGATGTTTCTTCTGTTCTGGTTTGTTACAATTTCCCTATTTTCAGGGATTTTCCTCTCTCTGCTGCAATGGAACAAACATACAAATATTTGCAAGGTGCACTCTTGAGGAAAAGTTGTGATTTCTCACATGGTTAAATGACTCCAGGAGCTGGTTTTCAAGAAACGCATCAACTGTTGAGGCTTGCAATAACAGCCAGCTGCTGTCAGCACTGCAGTGAAAAACGAGGGAAGCCTAAACATCCTTCGCGGGGACGAAGCTTGCTGCCAGGTGGCTGCCCGTGATCTGCACCCACTTCTGGGGTTTGCTYGCAACCTGGTATCTGTAAAGGGCTGAGCCTCCTGCTGTGGGCCCAGTTGTGTCCCCAATAGGGGCAGCATCTGTCCCTGGGAAGCCCACGCTCCAGGGGGAYGCTCTTCATGGGGCGTTTTGCCTGTGTTGGTGTCCCATAGTGGTGATCTTGGCGAGAGTGCCCAATGTGCCATCCCAGCCRCAGACCTTTCATCGGGGCTGCAGCGTTTGTGGT